CATTTATATACATACCTGCAATACTACTCTACATAATGTCATACACCTTGCTTTAAAACAAAATCTAAGGTTGCACTTCCCTTTTCTTCTTGAACTTTGCCATCTTGTCCAAGATACAGTGCCTCGTGTGTTTATTTAAACCGGCAATACTTACGAATTGAATAAGCTTTTGTAATAATGGGCTGACAATAAGGAAAATGCCTGTGTCCTCATAGCCTTATGGGTGGCACTGCTAGTGGGACTGATAAAGCGGTTCAGGATATCACAAATAGTTTGCACATAAATGTTTGGTAAAATGAAAGAAATATATAAACAAATTAAACAGATTTAGGTCGAATGCACTTCCATCGTCATTTGCTGATGCATCACTAAGATAGAATTCATTCACGCATCAGGCTTTACAAAAAGTTCAACTTTTGTCACCATTTAAAATGCATTGCACACTTACAGGAGACCACATTTAGTGAAGTAATTAACAGTAAGCCTTTAGTAGCCCTTTGTGACCCATTCGTCGTAAAGTAATCTGCTGAGAAGACACCTACCTCCATTCTCTTAATTATGGCTGGTTTTTTTAAAAAAAACATACAAACTGCGTCCAAGATTGCAAAACTCTTTTTTCCTGCCACAGTAATTAATGGCACTAAGAATGCTTGGTCTACGGGAAAATGCGCATTACCGTAGCCCATTGTTTGCCATGCTTTTGCTCTAATTCCCTGGGGATTCATTCTGTTGGCAAGGCGCATGAAAATAAAATCCTCGTAATTCGGTACAAAATGACGCCTTATCGATTTAACTTCCGCATCGGGAAAAAGAGCACTCATTGCTGTTCCTGTGGTTCCAGCGGGCATCCCTTAAAGAGGAGAAAGAGATGTCTCCACCAATCAATACATCATCTCTTAGAATGCACCCCTTGATTGGGGTGATTGGTTGGCCGAATGAGGAATAAATGGTGGGTGTAAAGCAACCCTATTGCCCTTACAACAGAGGATATACTGACAAAGGCATGCGTCTGGGGCTGCTTTAACCGTTCCCTCCGCAATCATAGCAATGCGGCGCTAATGCGGGTGTAGGTGGAAGAGGGCTTTAAGCATAACAATTGCGTAGGTGGCGAGAGCATAGACAGCCAATAGATAACAGTATTTCCACTGTGATAGAATGAGGAAAACATTGCTGGAGTTCTGATGATAATGCGAGGCACTTAATGATGGGTTATGTGGTCTGCGCTCCCAGCTAATTGTGTCTTAAGCGAGAGCAGCCGACTTCAAAAGACTCAGTAATGGGGGAAATTGTAGGCGACGCCTAGAGTAGCATGTACCGTTGATTAAATAGCAATGAAAGAGTTATATGTTTCGCATTACTTTTAGCTTTAGGCATTTGCAGGGCAGCTCATACTCATAGAACAACTGATGAGAAGTTGTAATTGTGGATATAAACTTCAAACAACCTTACTTTTACTTATTATTGAGATTATTGTTGCATCCACCAAGTGGCATTTACAACGAGCCATAGATAGGCAAGTTACATTAAAATCTGGGGCTCGACCGGGGTCAATGTCAGTATGCAAGTTTGATACTGACTTAATGGAATAAATTTTTAGGCATAAAAAGTATTGTCAATACCTTGTCAAGACAGCAAGTAAACAACAACATTGCTTTGGTCCGATTTGGGCGTTTTGAGCATTAGTTTCTTGACCTTTAAGTATAGGGCGCAGGTACTAGTGCCACAAGTAAATGAGTAACTGCTTCAAGACAGCTTTGTATACAACATCACGGGGCCTAATATGTGTTGGTTTTCCCACAAAACATCCTAGTCAATTCAAAAAATCAAAATTGTCGGATCTCTAGGAGTCTCGATGGTTCAAAGGTTGAATAAAGGGCTTCTCCTTTGGGACTGTGTTGGTCGCCGCTCACATTACTGTGCCCAAGTAGAAGGGAGAAGAAGCTTACAATCTCGCCCCTAGTAGTAGTTGGAAAGAGACCAGCTAGGCGTAAGAGAAAGTGTATATTATGAAATTCTTGTATTATGGCAAATTACTTTAAAAATCGTCACCAACCTACGTGTGTAGTTTTAAAAAGGCCACTTCAGCCATCCTCCCCACCTTACCAATGCTTTCAGCATTTTAGGGCAACATGGATTCCCTAGTGTAGGCTGAAGTCGACTCCTCGCCTAAAACAAACGCGGATGGTGAATTTCACTTCGATGCATTTAACGCCTTTGATGCACCTCACAATGGGGAAGTCAAAATCGCTAAATACATTATCGTGAATGCAAGAAAGGAGTAGTGAAGTAACAAGACCTACAACTTCGAAGTGAAGTGTGCTAGTTAACCCTTATTCATTAACATTTCCTCTTCCACTTCGATAAAATATAATTTCCACCATCAAATGGCTATGGTTTTTTATACATTTCGCCCCTTATTTAAGTAATTTTACTGAGGTTATCAGAATAAAATAATTCTTTAGGGGTTTTGTATGTATAAACAAGCCTATACTTCAAGCAATGACAGACCAGATCGCTTAACAATTTCTACTTTGGATTATTCGACCGACGGGAAAAAAATTGGAGAAGGTATTAGAGATAAGTAAGGTGCTACAGGGACACGAAGTGGGACCACCCTGCTACTGCGCAGTTGCTCGATTGTATTAGTTGTTCTCTGGGTGAATGACCTCCTTTAGGTGTAAGGAATGGCACAGGTCAGACCGGAGTTAGTGATGTTCATTGGATTTTGCCATCATCCGCCTTTCAGCCTGGCATACTTCCAAGTCAACCCCGTTCTTATGTGATAATCAAAGTTACTACCAATTTCAACACAAGACAATGTATGGTTCGATAAAGGCTCCAATTCACTGCCAATAAAAAAGCGATGTCGATGATGTGATGTGAGGCCTTTGATCGAGCAGTGTTATCTTGCTTGACTTGTGTGGGACCGCCGAGCGGAGAAGCAGAAATATATCCATATTTTAGCTAATTCAAGTTGTGTGCGCCTTTAAGCTTAATTGAATTCTTCTAGGAGTTTACTAGCAGACGAATTAAAGAAGTAAATTTTGTAAATGTTGTACGATGTGCCTCTGAGGAAGAGCCTCTCTAAATTCTCCAAAAGCATCTCTATAAAGTGGGTGGAAAATGGCGCAAAACAACTTGAGTGGACAAGTCGCTTAATAAGCAGAATTCAAAACTCATCCAGTAGCAATCATTTGAGGCTGTCCCGCGCACCAAAGGGAGTCCCAACCTCACATTTACAACCACTTTTATCACCGATTCTCTGTTTATAGCATTTTCCAATTCCCATGGGTTCTTTGCAAGGGAAAGTAAATCTTCTTACCCTCTTCTGCCATTTAAATAATTAGCATCCCTGGAGTAAAAAAGTATGCAACCTTCCAGTCGCAATGTGCGTTGGAGAAAAAAACATACAAGTGAGTCCTTTGCCCAAATGTTGCCTCCTCTAGCAGCCGCTGAGATGTAAAGGCCGATTCCTGCGAAAGTCAACATCTACTATCAGGTGGCAATTCAAACATCAAAGCGAGGAAAAGAATCATCTCCCGTAAAGTTTGCCATTACTTAATTTTCCCTCCATGAACTCCCAACACCCAATGAACATTCCGATAATGTGTCCAAATCTCTTCCGACGATCTCAGACGAGTCATCATGCAGAACCGAGAGACCATTCTTCTGCCCACAATCAGCCATTCCCAGTTCATTCGAAGTCCGACTCGTTAGCATCACCTGATCGGACAGCATGGAAGTGGAGAAATGAGCTGTTGCTTCTAAGTGATGAGGATTTGCGGTGTCACTTGAAGTGGCAACTCAAAGTGGTGGCCTCTGGTAAAGGCTGAGTGGCTTGAAAATGGGACCCGTGTAAGGAGGCAGCAGAGCTAAACTAAGTAGTTAGAATAACGTGGCAGAGCATTCGTATTGCTAGTTACGGTCAATAAATTGTCATTTACTGTGATGGTTGCGATGCCTTTGGAAGGGAGAAGTAAAACCTTCGTCTCGTTTACCACTGCTCCTGCGTGTAAACGAGCTTGAAAAGAGACAAAGTGGGTCGATAGATACTACTTATTAGATTAAGTGGTTACAAGGCCTTTACGGAAGTGAAGAGACTGGCTTCCTTCAATGGGCAAAAAAGAAGAAGTCGTCGACAAGACTGCACGTATATTATTACTGACAACTCAATTTCTTTGTTTTTTAGTCTAATATCGAAATGTTGGCTGCTCCTTACCGCTTATAATCCAATCTCCCCTCTCTTTCTTCCTTCAATGCTTCACCTTACTAAGATTTAAAAATGCGACTACACAAAAAAATTAAGGTTAAAATAGTTGACAAATCACAATAAAGAGCATGCAGCTACCTGATGCATTTGTTCGCATAAACTTCGTTGTAATAAAAAAGTCATTTGACATTTCCTTCATGACGACTGAAAAACTTCTTTTACCATATCCCGTTGGTAAATTTCCTGACAATACTGTAAGAATCCGCAACATCTACCAGGCAGTTGCAAATTTGATGCCTCATTTAATGAAGATTTTTCGGACTTTTGGTTGGAGGAGAGATTTAGAAATGGGAAAATTCCGGCTAACAATTAATGGGCCTACGACTTACTCCTTAAATAATTTTGTATAGCTTTTAAATTAAAACAACCTTAAATATGACAAAACCAAATATCAAAAGAGACGCAACGCTTTCCTCAGGCTTTGCTGCAAAGTAGAGTTGATGGTGTACTTCGCATAAATTGTGTCTTGTCTACAAATGAAAAGAGAGTGTGTGGGATGCACATTGTGAACCTCCATTTGTTATACTTGTAGTGGAATATCTTCTGGCCAATGGGAAACCGCAGGCCCTCCCACGCCCTCCGATTGGCCCGTCAACCGGCAACATTCCCACTCGTGGATTAGCCGCTGCAATACCATCCTGCTCGTCCACATTGCACGCACACATTCACAGTCCCACAAGCAAAAGACGAGTGAAATTTCCACGGCGTTCTTGTTAACTCTACATTCGCAATGGATGCGATAGAGAAGAGTTCTGCTCCAGCATCTGCCAACTGTCAGAGGAACCTTTTGAAACGCCGGTCGATTTCTCTTAACACTCCAGTTCCACTTACTCAGGGGGAACTAGAACGGTATGGCCGAGTTGGCCTGGTGAAACGACAAGTATCGACTGATGAGTGTGGACGGTTCAACGAGGAATTTCAAGAAACTTCATCCGGCAGTAGTGTCTCTACTATTGTCCTATCAAAATTGCGATCATTTGGTCGACAAATCCATCGTCACATGATTGAGACGGTAAATGTGACGAATGATGTCTCCCGAGGGATTCCGCGTTCGGCGGTTGGTGATATCTATTTTCAGAGTAAAAGCCCACTTGAAGTGATTAATAGGAAACCGGCGTCCCGACAGTACCGGAGTGCGAAACTCAGTCTAGATCTAGAAGACACATGGAAGTGTATGCGGGTCATAGAAATGTCCCACGACCTGAATGACAATAAACAGAGTTGCTCGGTCTCCAAACTTTTGGATGCACCACTTTTCAGAGAATCTCCGGCTGAAGATGTGTCGGTAAAATCCAAAGCACCGACAGAAAGACGGCTATCGACATCGGCTCCACATTTAGAAGCCTTTGAGCAGCACCACAGAGATAAACAGAAAAAACAGACAGCTCCATCAGCAGAAGAGTCCAAGAAAATTATTTCCAGAAATGCTCGACCCAAAGAAGTGAATTACGATGATCAGGGTCAGACCTGGGAAATCTATGGTGCTGATCAAGATCCCAATGCCCTAGGACAGGCGATCGAAAGTCACTTAGAAAAGATGATTCAGCGAAAGCAGAGAGAACAACGATGTTTTTCGCTTGGAACCGAAATTCCCCATCAAAATACTTGTTCCACAAAATCCAGTTCTCGAGCCTCACATACTGGGGAGCAAATTTTACAAGCTGCAAGACGGCGTTTCCGTCGAAGAGCTGTCTCCTCTGTGACGTCAAATTCCACGCACACCGCGAATGAAGAGAGTCCAGATCGAGAGACCCGTGGTAGACGCTCCAGACTTCTTAGCTACATCAATCGAATTCTCAGACGATCATCTACATCGGCTTTATCTGCTCATAGACACAAGCTCTTACATCAGGATTCCATCATGGAAAACAAGGACACGCCCTCTGGCATGGAGAAAGCGGTGATTTCTGCCACCTGATGAGGTGGTCATCACATATGTGGATTGCAGCCATTCCGCCGCCTTTTGGCTTCGGGACCTAACATTTTCACCCACGAAAAATCAACCAGTCAGCCTATTTTTGTGTCCTTTTGTAACTATCAAAACGTGCACGAGTTCACAAGCGTGATTTTGCTTTGTTCAAGTGCAAAATGCGCTCTTCTCTACTGCAGTAAAAGATAAGGAAGTCTTTTTCAGGCATGCTTTGATGGTTTTAGCCACATTTGAAGCCGATCCTTCATCATCCTCCTACAGTCAAATTTAGGATTACTTAAGCCATTACAGTTAATACTTTGATGACATGGCAACTTGACGCAGGGTCCTGGTGCTTAAAGGTATTTACCGCCGTCTATTTTGGGGGGTAATTATTATTTTCATACTAATTTTAGTCACCTTTTAATGATAATTTTATTAAAATGAAAGGGTGGAGGTATGTAATAATCACCCTGCTTTATAAAGGGTCCTGGTTCTACTCTCCACCGTTTTTCTCGAGGATCATTTGCGGAAATCTCTGTTCTCCTTTAACAAGTGTAGGGAAACACTTCCAGAAGCGCATGTCAGTACAGAGTACCAAGTATTAAAGGCCGAAGTAATTTTAAAAGTTCAATATCTGCATCCTTTAAAGTTCTGCTGAGATTCGTTTATTAACTTGTCAGATGTGTGAATGATTTTCCGTTCAAATTAGCTATTTTCGAACGTTTTTGATCCTTACTTTTGAATAGGGTACAATTTTTTGATTCCAAACTTTGCATTAGATGGCACTTAGTTGTTGAAGGTTAGATCTGGAGAGTCGACTTGGGCATTGTTTATCCGGCGGGGGTCTTGCATATCTGAATTCACGGTGCCAGCACGTTGCTGCGTAATCCGAAGGCGACCTTTCGCATTGCGATGTTTGAAAACTCTCCTCTATGGAAAGTCGTCACGTTCCGTTCCAAAAAAAAATGACTGCTGAAGAGGAGGAAGAATTGGGCAATACAAGCATAAATTGGAAGTCCACAAGTCCGGAGGATTCCCTTGAGGTTACAATGCCAAAACCAAAGTTTAAGCTTATGATAAAGGCATTACCTTTTAATTTTTCTGCCATGAACATTCGATAGTCACATCAGAAGAAGTGGATTACCGACTTGAAATACAATACATACATAGTCTGTTAAAACAGGAGTGAGCCTATCGCTGCACTGTCACAGGATGTTAGGACTTGTCAGACAACGTACGCATGGCATGGTGGAGGGAGGTTCACAAATTTGACAATCTATACCTTATTCTAAAGTAATTAAATGTCATGCATTAAAGGTATTGAAAACTGTCTTTTTACCCTCAATCGCCATAGCATACGACGTCTATTCCTTTGTCTTATGCCACATTATTTAATCTGTCCACCGAGTTTACCTCGAAATTTCTCTGATAGAAAGTTTATGCTACAAGGTGCTACTTTCTTAATCAGCAGACCAAAGTTAGGGAATGTGAGAGCATCGATGATGTAAAGACACTTTATGTTTGATAGCCTTTGATTTTACTTTGAGACAGAAAAACTAATCGTTAGCAAGTCATGATTGCTATTTTAACGGATTCTTGTAGAATTCGGATACTATTGCTCATTTACTTGAGTACTTTTTAAACCGAGATAGGGGAAATACCCAGTGAGAACGAAACAAATGGCAAAAAGGATCCATGGTCGCCACATGCTTCAAAAGTGTAGAGACGAGAATTTGCGCACCTGACATTGATGAAGTCACTAATTTCTGGCACAAAGTTACCTCTTAAGCACATCTAAACAACCGTAGAAGGAAAAAGGATGGCTAACAAAACCTTCGCATTCAAAACACCAAAGACTATGAGAGTTCCAGACATTTTAGCAAGGTAAAGCAAATGTCAAACTTTGACTTCTTGACAGCTGGAGGTAAGCAGATCCAACATTGTATTCTTTTTTCACTGTTCCTTCAAAAAAAATTGAAACTTATCTTTTCCGGAGTAACTGACAATATTATGATTGCTACGATGGTGGGCAGTGCGGCTAAACAAGCAAACGTCGATGTAAACGATGGAATTAGGGAAGCTGAATGTACGCGGTGATGCCTGAGAGAGCCAAAAGACGTTAGTCGCCTCAAAAGATATTCAGTAACATTTTGTTCACAGTCGTTAATCACACATTAAAGAGAATACAGTGGCCACTCATTCGTTGCGCCTCTATCAGTCCGTTCTGCTGTCAAGCTCCAAGAAGCAGACCTGATGTCCTTAGTAAGGCGAAGGCATAGCAAAGTAGAGGCGCAACGTTATTTCTTCCCTATCAAGTAGAGTTTGAAAGACGAAGTACACCGAATAAAGAACGTAGAGAAACTGGATTTATCGAGATCTAATGCAAAAAATAAGGTACGACTGTCAGCTTAACTGGCCATTACTACCGCAGCAAGGTGCAGCGATTGACATGGAGAGATTTACAAAAGATGCATGAGCAACAGCATAATGAAGTCTGTATAAATTAAAATAATTTTAGGGGTTATTTTCTTATATGAAGAAAGGGCGAGGACGTCCAATCGCAAATGTTGAAGCGGCGAGAATCAATGGGATTAAGCTGTGAGTCAAGAATAGATCGGAAAAGTCTTTAATTCAAAGCGAACATAAAAAGTCAACAACACTCCGGCATTGGAAAATTTTGGTTTTGACATTTATTTTCATTGTGCATAATGCCATAATTACCTCTTTCCAATGGACTAAGCTAGCACCAAATAACAATGGTAACTGACAAATACTTTGATTGCCTCATTTTTATTCTATCCTCGAGGTGTTGCCAGCATTGTGTCGCGCAATGGAGTAGCCCTCTACAATACTGGATCTGAGAGACAAACAAAAGGTTGGGCTTAGTGGTGAGTAATGCCTGTGCCCCAGTAAAGACAACCACTTGGGACATTCCTCTCATGAGTGTGTTCATGAAGGTTGATAGCTAAGGAGTGCCATAAGAGCCATCTGATTAACACGGCACTTATCCGTCTCGCCATTCGTCTGAGTGTTATGAAGCGTCTTTGCTTTGATTCTTCAGATGTCAAGCTGACTAGTAAGTAACCTTGTCACAAATACAGTTCCAGTAAAGTACAAAGATAAATTCAAGTACCAACAAAACGAAAAATTTGAAAGCTGCAATGGTCATCCTCGCATTACTAATGTTGATTTTATTCTTTACGGAAGGAAGAACTTGTAAACTCTTCTTGCCGGAGCATAATAACCATTCCTTGTGCCACAAGGTCTTCAAGCTTAAAACAAACGTGATATTAATAAAATTAAGATCGCATTGGGTGCACCAGCCTTGAAATCGAAAGCTACTGAAGGGCTAAGTTAGACCGCTGCACTTGTAGGCATTTAAAAACACTCACTGGTATCATCTAATGCATCTCAGAACCACAATACGTGTGTCAAGTCAGTCGTCGCCAACTCAGCAGTAGCGAGTGCAGCAATGACCGAAAATGCGTCCGAATATCAACAACCTGTCCCCTCCCAGTGAACAGCGATACGTCCACCACCTTCATCTAACTTGACACTCAACGGTAATAGCAGATGGAGGGGAC